GCTAAAACGTGGTTCGTGCGGCGGGAAAGATACGGGGTCGGAGAAATCTGTGACTCGAGATGTTCGGTGGCAGTAATTCACATTTATTTAATATCAACGCGTATCAGGCAACCTACGGAATTGAGGCCCTGTTACATGAGATTATTAAGCGCGCGGACGGACATGTATGTACAGCTATTTACACGACGTAGTAACCCGCGTGGGCGTCGGGCGAACAATTTACGCGCGTTTCTACTACGCGGGACCCCGGTCCTGTGTTCGCGCCGTCGGGATCGGTCGGACGGGTAGTACGCGGGTGTTGACATGGGTTCTCGAAGCGGGTATCTCGTAAGCCGGCCGTATCCTGAACACGGTAGCGCAATCGCTACCCTGTCTTCGCGGCGCGGGTCGAGGGTCGGGAGTCGAACCCCTGCGTGCCCGGTGTCCAGATGACTAGACTCGAGGTCACGAAATCATGACCCCGGTGTTGCCGAGCGGTTCTATGTAGGATAGGATTCTTACCGAACGCCCGTGATATCACGGAAGAGACAGCGCAACCACGATCTCTATTCTCTTCGGGTAAATGATGGAGCTCAGTCGAACGATGTGACTCGCTTGCTGGGCCTGGTGAAAAAGGTGCTTTACCTTTTCGTCCCCGGTCTTGTATACCCACGACGCCGGTAGTGTGTTATAGATATTGGCCCCACTCCGCCGCGGCGACCGGGGCGCCAAATTGCGGTACCTGGTTTCGGGTGCGCGCGTACCGTTCGGTTTACAACCTCGCGCTCGCTGGTAACCGATCGCTTATGTAACATTTAAAAGGTACGGGCGCACTGCGCCTATCATCGCCCCGCAGGTATTCGGCAAGGCGGAATCCGGCTGGTGTTTTGTCAGGCATCCGGCCGCGACCGGGTAGTATGATGACGATGCATACTTCGGACTCACATCGTTATAAATATATTTGTATTTTTTCATAATTCTTTTCAAATCGTACGAAATTATCATCGTTTATTATTTAAATAAACGTTTCATCACGCAGGCTTTAAAAGGTACGATGACTCGCACGATGTAAAAATATCAATTGCCGACAAAAGAATCTTTATTAAAGAAAGTTTATTACAGTTCTATATTATGCTTTTAAAAGCAACATGGCTAATAAATTATTAAAATATCGAATTTACTTACAATTAGTTTGAGATCTAATTATAAAATCTTTTTCGATGAGGTAAATTTGGAGGGAACAACTTTTAAGTGATGTATCTTTTAAAATGATGCCATCTTATAATTAGATTTTTAATTATTTTATGAACTTGGGTATAGTCTGTAGTGAGCTCACGCAACAATACATTCAATCGCTAGTACGTAGATTTGATAAAAATCTCTTTCGTTTGATCAATCATTCCTAGTATGTGTAGTATACGTTTCGTGGATGTGTGACGCGAGAAAAACGCGAAGCTGACACAAGACAATCGGAATATCTGTTGTTTGTTAGTGAAAAGTAACGTAGTGCAGTCAGCCATGTCGCGTTAACTACTAACAAAGAGTTAGCAAATATGCTGCTCATTTATGGTAAATGCCATAAAAATGAAAGGAGAGCCGCAATTCGATACGCTAATCATTTCCCTGACCAGCGGCACTCATCACATACGTTGTTCGGTTTGCTTTATCGTCGAATTTGTCAATATGGCACTCTTCACGCATCAACACGTCCGTGAAATAAACGTTGTGACGTGACGTTTTTCGACAACGTCCATCACAAGGGCTCATTAACCCGATCGCGAAGGCATAGTGGTATCCTGCGTCCTCCGACTTTCGAGGGCGAGTGCATTCCTGATATTGCCGTATTTTGCGACTTATTCTTTGTCATAGATTCAAGTATTTAGGTCACCCATCGACCGGGATAAGTGAAGGACTGCGATTATCCGGAAGAACTCTTGTAACAGAACATCGTCTCACCGGCTCCACGCGACTAACAAGGGAAGTTTGCGAACCCGAAAATTCAGAAAAATCTGACTCTTGGTGTAAAAGTAGAGCAGTTCATCCCTAGCATGAAACTATTTTTCGTTGGTGCTCAATTCCGTTTTAAAGGGATGAAACCACCCCTTGAAAAAAATCGGTTTTTTTCTTCCGACGTGAATATCGTCGAAACTATGAGAGATAGAAAA